GCTCTGTTAGGAATCCTGGCCTCCTCCAGTTAGACAGGAGTTTCTCCATGGTTTTCTCTATTCAATGCGGCCAGTATTTAATTGTATTTAGAGTCATATAATTTGCTTCACAGAATTACAGCACAAGGCATTATATGGCATTTTGTAATGTCACTGTATACTGCATTAATCACTGTGTGAAATTGTACAAGAAATATCCCTAGTTTGACTTCTGCTATTGACAGGGAGCACTTCTTGATATCTCAGAAAAACAGTGCCAAAGTCAAATCATTTTGGAACCCACTCCCTCTGTTTTCTTGTGCATCTACTCTCATCTCCTTCTCTATGCCCCTGCACAGTGCACCCCTGAATTTTGTGCTGAAGCATTCATTATAACATTGACATACAGCCCTGAAAAGCTTCATGAAAAAGCAGTCTTAAATGATAGTGACATCTAAGTCAAAAATATGTAACTCTCCAGAGTGAAATTGTAGTCATTTTTATCTCAGTTGCACTTTTTTGATTTTGTGAGAAATGTGAAGTTCCTAAAATATTTGACTTCAAAAAAAAGTTATTGGTCATAGACATCAAGAAATGTTTGTCTAATATGTAGGGTATATTTCATTGATTCCATCTTCAATATGGAAGGCAATAGCTGTTCTGTATGTCAGCTTTCCCTTGGTAATTAGATCATTCTTTAATGACATAACAGTGACCTAGGTAAATAATTTAAAAAAAACCCCCAAGAATTGTAATGCTTCTCACTTTTCAAGTATACTATAACTGTGAAAGAGGATATATGTGAAAAAGAGAGCTTATATCCTGATGAGATTAAGAAGCATTTACTAGTTTTGTTTTGACTTGTGCAGAGTTATTCCTACTGACTGTGTATCTCATGTCACTGAAATTTGCAGAAGCAACATATGTATGTGGAAAGAGAAAATAATTGCAATATTTCTCAGGACTCGTGATTCTGAATAAAGCGATTAGTCAAGTTAGACTTTTAAGTATATGTTTCTTTAAAATTGTCGTAGATTTAAATTACAGTATTTCATCCAATATTTTTATTATTTCAGTCTTATTTTTAACTTTTTATTTTTAAATGCCTTAAGATGAAATTGGCCCTCCTGGTGTAAAGGTGGACATCAGTGATGTTTTGCTCCATATCCAGATTTCTCCCCCAGGAGGATCTGAGAATGAAGTCATGAGGGATCATTATGACTTGTCTTACCGGCTTCTGTATTGGAAGAATTCATCAAATAGTGAGGTATGAACTAGTTAAATACTTAAAACTGTGTGTAAAATTTGTTACGACTAAATACTGAGTTTGAGTTCTCAGTTACGCGGTTAATTTGTTATTTGTTTGACTTTTTTTTTTTAAAGATTCTCCTAAAAATCCACTTAAGACTACTTTAATCACAAAATAATTGAGATTTTGATCTTTTCCATTGATGTGGCTATATGTAGTGATTTGCAGAATTGCACTGAGTTTTGTATGCACTGCTAAATGGCTCGCTTTTGAATAGAAGTTATAGGGTTCTTATGATGCTGTCCGTCCTTATGGTATGAGTCTGTGCACTGTCTTAATGAATGTCGCTTCCAGCCCCTCAAATTCTTTTCTTTCTGTATTTACAGTTTTACAGCTCTGTGTATCATGAAACAATGAAGTCTTGCATGCTTTTAGCTCATGTTTTAATGCATCTTTCCATGTTCTTTAAGTGCTGCTTACAGTAGAATATTTTACAGTAATCAGTAAATGTGTGAAACAAGACAGGAAAATAAACTGCAGTAGGAAGAAGTTTCATTTTGCACACAGCTTTGAACTGTAAAATTTCAGTATGGTGAAAGCAGCTCATCCTTGCCAGTAAGTGTTTCCTGAATGTGTTTGCTTGGGAAAGGGTTGTGTGGTTTCTTTTATTTAATCCAAGTGCAGAATGGTGTCTAACTTCTTATGGAACTACTTCTTCATCAGAGCCCAAAATTCTAATCTATTTTAGTGACTTGCACTATTTAGGTGCATCTTATCCTTCCAATTTTTCTTTTTCAGGAAGAAATCAAAATGAAAGAGATAAAACAGACAATAGGGACAGTCTCTGATCTAACACCCTCCAGTTTGTACTGTGTAAAAGCACAAGCATTCTCAGAAGTTTACAACAAAAGCAGTCGTTTCAGCAAAGAGGAATGCATCAAAACACCTGGAGGTAGGAAAAGCCTGGGAATTGTTACACCTGTGGAAGTAAGATTGTTAACCCTTCACAGGCCTCTGCAGGTCTCACTAAAAAATATTTGCAGCAGGACTTCATGGCCTCACAGAGTCAGCACCTACATGGGCAGAGATCTGTGTCAGCAGTCTGTCACATTGCTGCACTATGTTCTCTCCTGTAACTAAACTAATAAACTGCTTCTGTTCTGACCTGGTCAGAATTCCATTCTGATTATTCTGTGACACAACTCAGTTTAGAAATTATCTCAGGTTAATAACTGTAATGATTGTGAATTAAATTTAGTTCTGTACAATGACTTGTTAATAGACAAGCTTTAATTTCTAATACTTCTGAGACATTTTTAGTAGGGTGCAAGGAATCACTAAATACTACATTGTCAAGAATATTTTATTCTTTAAATTGTCTTAATTCTTCTGTGAATTAATTAAATTTTTAAACATTAAATTTTGCTAAAGTGTGAGGGGACAAATCGTCAGACTCACTGTAGTTGAAAGCTCATCTTTATGCAGCAGGAGAATACATTTGTAGATGGATTACATTCATTCAGAACATAAAAGCAAGTTATCTTTTGAATTTTATTTGACCAATTATCTTCTATTAACAGGCTGTAACACTAGAAGAATTACTAAGTATCCTAACTCATTACAAGCTGAGAAAACATGGTCATAGTAATGCTACTTTCTCACATCTTAAGCTCTTAGTATAATTTATATTGTAGTTCTTGGTGCTTTGTCTATCAAGCCTAAAAAGAAACAAATGTTACTTTTTTAGCTTCCTAAGATAAATTCTTTAATCTGTTTTACTAGTTATTTATTAGTCTTCTCCATATGCTCCTCTTATAAGGAGCCTATTTAAGATCAAGCTGAAGACTCTATATTGAGATGCAGGCATACAGGCAACTTCCCTGTATTTTCTGTACATTCTTATATCCCAGTGTGGAAACTTCATTCTTTGATCACTTGTACTGAGTTGAAGTACTGATAAAAATACCTGATTGTCCTATCTTGATTATTGTTAAAGAGTCTCCTGGTATGTATTATTTTTAGTCTGTTCAGACTCACTTCAGTTTGTTTGTTAGAGATCTTGCCAGAGAACATGTTGCAAAGGAGAAGAGAGAAGGAAGCTTGCAAGACTCTTGAACTTAAGCACTGAATAGCTTATGACTACAGATAAAAGGTTTCTTAGACTACAGTATTTTAGTATCAAAAGCTGGATTCTATCACGTAAAGTCCTTCTATTGTAAAATCCCAACCTTAAATCCTGGAACTGAGTCTAGACTGTTAGAAGGTTTTCTGCAGCTCCTGGATTAACACAGGAATGTAGGACCATAGATTTATAGAATGGTTTGGGTTGGAAGGGCCCTAAAAGCTCATACAGCCCACCCCCCTGCCATGGACAGGGACACCTCCCACCAGACCAGGTTGCCCAAAGCCCTGTCCAACCTGGCCTTGAACACTTCCAGGGAGGGGGCACCCACAACTTCCCTGGGCAACCTGTGCCAGTGTCTTACCACCCTCATCATAAAGAATTTCTTCCTTTTATCCTATCTAAACCTACCCTCTTTCAGTTTGAAACTTTTCCTGTCACTACCGACTTTGGTGAAAAGTGTTTTTATCTTTCTGGTAATCTCCTTTTAAGTATTGAAGGGTCTCCCTGGAGCTTTCTCTTCTCTAGGCTGAACAATCCAAACTCTCTCAGCCTTTCTTCCTAGGGGAGATGCTCCAACCCTCTGACCATTTTTGAGGTCCTCTTCTGGACCTGCTGTAACAGGTCCATGTCTGTCTTGTGCTGGAGGCCCCAGCTGGAGGCTGAATGCAGCACTCTAGGTTGGGGTCTCCTGAGAGTGGAATGGAGGGGCAGAATGACTACCCTCTACCTGCTGGCCACTTCTTTTTATGCAGCCCAGGATATGGTTGGCTTTCTGGGCTACACGCATGCATTGCCAGCTCATGTCCAGTTTTTCATCCACCAGTATTCCCAAGTCCTTCTCAGCAGGTCTCCTCTCAATCCCTTCACCCCCTTGTCTGTATTGATACTGAGGATTATTGCAGTCCAGATGCAGGACCTTGTGCTTGGCCTTGTTGAACTTCATGAGATTCACATGGGCCCACTCCTCAAGCCTGTCAGGGTCCCTCTGGATCCTATCTGTTCCATCTGTCAAATCAACTGCACTACTCAGCTTGGTGTCATCAAGTTAATGGCACCATGTTTGAGCATTGAAGTGAATTTCATCTTGCCTTTTTATACTGACAAAGTAAAATCTGTTGCTGAGCTACTGTCTAGACTACCAGTATAGAAAATAACTGGAATATCCTTACGATTTATTTCTTCTTAAATAAGCATTTGAAAGGAGTAGGTGCTCACTGGAAGATCCTTTTTCTCTCTATTGGCTGTGTTGTAGTCATCTGAAACTTACAAATGGAGTTCCTCTACTATCCAAGAATGGTTTGGATGCTTTTGGGCCCCTGAAGACCCTGAAAGTTCAGTCACTCTAATAATTTCCTAGCTAAATAACCGTGGGCCAACTTCACTGTAGTAATTGCCCGTTCTTACTTGGTAGCTCAGGGGATTCTTACTCCTGTATCGCTGCCTTCTTAAAGGAGAGCACTCTATCAATTGCATACTGTGTTTCTTGGGGTTAGACCCTGTATGCAAGCGATAGCGCGATAGATTTACATGCATCAGGTGCTTCATGGTAGCTGTCTACGTGCAGCTTGTTTGTTCTGCTGTCAAATAGTGACATATAACTGAAATATAACTGGGAATAACTGGATCTTGGCTTTGATCCTGTCTGCAAATGTCCATGTTCTTATATTGGATAAATATTTTGTGCTGTGTTTTTAGTAAAATTATCTAAGATACTGGAATAGCATCTTTTTTCTAATGATCATCATGGCTGGGTATAGTATTGTAGAAAAAGTGAATTTTTATGATAAATACTGCAGCAGATTTGGAGGTAATCTGTTATTTAATCTTTGTAGTTCATTAAGACCTAGACTGAATGGTTTTTATTCACTTTTTAGATAAAATTTCATCTCTGATCATTTTAGCAACATTTGTAACTGCCCTGATTGCTGTCTTGCTTGTGGCTGTGCCATTCATTTTTGTCCTATATCAAGCCTACAGTAAAATCAAATACGTGTTCTTTCCATCATGCCAACCTCCGTTGAACATAGAGGTAAGATGAAATTTTTCTCATTCATTAAGCAGAGGTATTTTTAGAAAAAATGAACAGAAAATATTATGAAAAAGTGTACATTTGTTATCATGTGATCTTATGGGTATGCCAAGTTTAATTGTATAGGTTTGAATGAAGTACAGGAATTCCTATTAAAAAAATAGGTAGTAGCAATTTCTATAATTCTGTGATTAACGAATATTTTAACTGTTATGGTTTTAATTCTATCTGTGCAGAAGTGTTGCTGACTATCTTTCATTCCAGAGCATGTGCATGTCTACCCACTGTGATAGTGTACCTTTGCCCTGCTATGTGAGACCAGAAATGCTCTTCCATTGTGATACCTGGAAGAGCATGCTCTGGCCTTCTTGCCATCTTTTAAAACTCAAAGGAGGCAAAAATGCAAGCCCAGTCTTCAGGGGAAAATTTGATGTAGCGGGTAGCAAATGCTTCTACTGTCTCCTGACCTGGCAGCCTGGATGGTCTCAGGAAGGGCAGATGTTGTCCTATTTCCAGCTCAGCTTGGCACAGGTAGTACTTAGTAGGGATCCTGCTCTGGAATGAACATGGCAACATGTAAGTGTAGGTATATTTTGATGTAGCAAGGACTGCTTTCGACTGTGCTTTCTTCTGTGTCTCTCAGAACACTGTTTTTGAGTAGTGTATGGCCTTCCTAACATGCGTCATCTTCTCACTGAAGCTCTTAGGATATATAGTATATGAAGCTTTCTGAATAAAGTTGTAATTTAAAATCAGTCTCATAGTTTTCAAGGGCTAATCTGAATTTAATTTATTTGTAAGGCAGCGTTTTCTTCAGTAGAATACTGGTAACATATTTAATGCAATGCGTATTTAGAACCTTTTGTGATGGGTTTGATATAAATGACCACTTCGGAGAACATATTTAAAGCATGTAGGATAGACAGCAGTGCACTCTTGAGAGCTGTGTAAGGTTTGGTATCCTGCTGCAGCAGCTTGCTTTCTTTTTCTTCTTTTGAACTTTGCTTTATAACTGATAATGATTTGTAGACTTTGCAAACACACACCTGTCATCCTCATGCTACTACACAACCTTTGAAAGTGTTCTTAATTAAGATTTTTCCTTTAGTTCTTGTGGCCTTGTCCTCATAAGGCTATAATCAATGAAATATTGCAATTATATAGATGATTAACAACTGTGAGGATACCAAGAGTTAAGATTAATGTTCATTAAGTCATTCTTTAGTGTTCAATTATATGAATGCAACTAAGCTTCATCCTGACTTTGAGTTTGTAAACTGTAGTGGTTTATACAGTTGCTCTGTCACCCAATGACTCCTCCCTTCCCAGGGAGGGGTGTCAGGAAAAGGAAAGAAGATCTGTGGATTGAAATGGAAATAGATTTAATAAAATAATAAAAACTAATACTAATAACAGGAGGAATATAAAGTACACAGAGTTATACTCGGCCGATATTGTGGGGCAGTAGGCCTCAGGAGTAGGATGGTAGATGAGTCCCTCTTGAGATGTCAGGCATGGAGGAAGAGGGAAGAAGAAGGGCTGCCCGCAGCAAACTCCTCAGTTTATAGTGAATGCAATGTTTATGGTATGGCATAGTATTAATTGGTCATCTTGGGGTCAACTCCCCTGGCTTTCTACTTCCCCCAGCCTCTGTACCTGTATCTCAAGACTGCTGAAGACCTTGAGCATCACATAGCAGCTTTAGCTGCAACCTATAACAAAGTCTTATCACTTTGTTCCCCTGAAATAAAGTATCCTTACAAAATCATTTTTCTTTAACACAAAACTGACTCTAGAATTCTGTCCCAGTAAACCAGGACAGTACTTTGGGAAACAAATGGCATATTACTGGTAGAAAACCTCATGGTGTTACTGAATACAGCAAACCAGACTTGTACAGCTGACATGTCAAGTGGAATCATTATTTAGATATTAAGTATAAATGTTCACCTCTTTCTTTTCTGCTTCTCTTCTTGCAGAGTTTTGGAGGACAGCTCTTGAGCAGTCCTTATCTGTCAACTATGGAAGAACCAATCGAGAATTGTTCTATAATTGAGACTATCGCCACAGAAGAAGCAAATCAAATTGATTCTGATGACTATCAACATTCTAAACAGAGCAGTCGAGATTCAGGAAATTACTCTAATGATGACAATACTTCAGGGAGCAAAGCATCAGAAGAAACGTTACAGAAGGAAATAGTATAGCTTTTCAGAAAATAAAATTCATATATAGGACTGGCAGCATAATAAACACTGAAAACTTTTTATTATGGAAGTCGCAGCCCAGGGAAGACAGTGTGACTTTGGGATCTTTGTCTCTAGGTTTCCAAATCTGCACTTTGTCAGTGGGAAGTTATGTTCCCTCTCTGCTGCAAGCCAACTGAAGTTAACATGCAACTGTCTCTGTGTACCTTATGTCATTTTGACTGACTTTCTGTCATATTATAAGAATACCATCTGCGTAAAGAGGAGCAGATCTGTACACTTTATATACTGCAACCTGATAACCTCAGCAAAAGCCTACTCTGTTCTACAAGAGTTTCTCACTTCGAAGGTTGTTTTGAATGCCAGTGCGTACAGTGACAGAAGCCTTAAATTCCAGTATTGAATCTTACAGTGTTTACACAGGCAGAAGGACATTGATGCTGGATACAGTTTTAAGAACTCTCCTGACATTCTCTTGCAGCCCCCTCAGGGGCAGTGCCGTTTGGCTCGGCAGGTCCAGAGCAAAAGGTGCAGAGAGACCAACAGTAGCCCTGGTGAGGTGGCTCCTCTGAGCCTCCTTGTCCACAATTCCTTGTGGCCATGGCTGCAGGATGCTCCCGATGGCCACTTCTCTCCCACAGCACTCGGTAATCTGGGCAACTATAGGGAGGGAAAAGGGCCTGAAGGAGGGTCACTTCACTTTACAGGAAAATTTCATGTGGAGCCTCTTTGTAAGAAGAGGTTTTGCACTGAGTTTAGGATAAAAAGCAACAAATATCCAAGTCAAATGTACACTGCAAGACACAACTAAATAGTACTGTTACTTTAAAGACAAGGTATGTTAAGAGGCATATTCTTGATTATTTGTTTCCCGTGACTAGATAACCAGAAGTGTAACATACTTCTAATTGAAATGTATTTAGAAATGTGAATCTCTTTTAACAAGGAAGAAACTTATTTCTGTAATTAGAAGGACCCACATTGAATGCAGAAATGCCTTTTAACAGATGGTAAGGATGCTTGTCATTCAAAGCTTTAACAACTTAAGTCTCATTTTGCCAACAATTTTCTTAATACAAATTATAAGGTTATGCTGCAATAATGTTTCAATTTGCATACTACTTTCTTATGAATTTTTAAAAGTAGCTTATTTTTTACAAAGAAATTGATTTAGAGTATATTGGTTTTGAGCTTCATGTGGGCTGTTTTTTATTGTAACAAGCAACTGTTTCTGTTTATGTTTTTTTTTATTTTGAAAACGTGATCTAATTTTATAAATTTTATGTCCCTGTGTTCATTGAAGAACATAATAAATTTTGCACATTTACTACTTTATCCCTTTTTCTGGTTCCATATGTTTTTGTTGTAGTGACATTGAAGCTACACTGTGAATACTTTGGAAGTTCCTGTGAGTCTTCAGTTAGTGACCTTCCTTAAAAAAAAATCCAAGCAAGCAAACAAACAAAAAACCCCGTAATGTGAAGCATAGTATATATAAATTAAATTAAGGCTTCCATGAAGTGTTGCATGATTCAGACAAATAAGAAAAAGTGCTAATTCATTTTCTAAGTTGGGGCTTAGCATTGCAGTCACTGTGGTCTTCGGTAGGTGGCCGCTGTCTGTGAGTTGGTGTGAGATGCTGAAAGGAAAGGCAGCGTGAAGTTGTCTGGGTTTGTGTGGTCTCTTCAGTACAATCTGAGTTTGCTGTGAGGATGCAACTTGTTCATGCAAGTGTTCCTCTTAGTGATTTATGCTGTAGCTGACCTCCCTGGATGTTTTTTCTCCTGGACAACTTTGATTTCAGTCTGGTTGTCTTATTTGTGACCTACTTCTACAGGAGGGTTTGGGGATATATTTTCATTTTGGGGATTTTCAAGAGTGAAGCTACTGTAAACATGCTTTCAGAAGTAAGATGGGATGGGTTTTGGTTTGGTTTTGTTTTTCTTTACTTGTCCAGGGAAAAAGTTTCATCCGCTATTTCAGCAGCTAACTGCAGGCGTTTTATTTTTATAACTCTTTCCTGTGACACAAGATTTTGTTTGCCTCCTGGAGTTCAGGCAGTCTGGAAAAAAGCTATTTAATGTGAAGGATTTCACTGTCAGATCTCAAATGATGGCAAAGCAGTCTACAGTGAATGTTTCTGAATTCATAATTTGCAAGCAGTCCACATTTTTCTTCAGAATGTAGAACCAAATGAGTGGTAATGAATATATATGTATGTTTGGAGTTTGGGTATAAAATGGGTTACAGAATATCTTGTATCAGTTCTTTTCAGTGTTGCCAGAAGCAGCAAAACCAGAACTGCAAGATGGAAATACTCATTCTATTTATACAGTATCTAACACTTAAACTGGGAAACTAAGTTCCTAAGTACCTGAGGCATTCTCATTCAGCCATGTTTCGGATGTATCCAGAAATACTAGGAAAATAATTTGACAGAACTTACACAGTTCACCTTCTAAGAGGAGTTTATTGCAGTGCATAAAGGAACTTTGTTTAAATGTCTTTTTTCCATTTCCAAAGTCTTTCTAAAGAATAAGACCCCTGAAGTGTTATTCCTTGTTTGAAATATTTCAAACAATAGAAAGCTAATCTTTATTATTTGGTATGGAAGAAGTCTGAGAAGGAGCTATATTTGACTCTCTTCACTGACATTATTCAGTGGGGTGAGATACAGCCCTATTACTAACTGAATACTTTCAAGTGGACAATGTAGAGTTGGATTTGTCAGTATTGATGGTAAAAATCGCAACCAAGTTAATCAAACCAAATGTTTTTGAAACTAGGTGCAAACTGATGTTGATACTGTGGAATATGTGCAATATAACCAGCTTTAAGACTCAGTGTGGGGAGAGATGACGAAGCAGAAGCTTCCTGTCATGGGGTTGTTACTTGAAAGGAAACCAACATCTGGTAATGATTTTGCATTTTTTCAGGTCACACATGCTGTGACTTTCCCATGATTTCTGCTTTTGGAATGGATTCCGTTATTAGGATTTTTTTTCATATATATAACTTCAGAGTCATATGCGTGATGCTGAAACCTGGGTAAGAATGTACAGATAGGTTTGTAGCACTGAGAAATAGTTTACTAAATTTTTAAGGAAAAAGATACTCTTGTTGCAGGCTGGAATTCATCACAATTAAATGAAATACGTATGACACTTAATGTGCCTTTCTTAACTGTCCACCTATCCCTCCCCCAGATTCCCGTATCCACAGCACCCAACTAAAAGAAGAGCATATGCCTTAAGAATCCCAAGGCACCAGAAGCAGCACTGCTTTCTGACAAATGGATTATTTGCCATTGCCGTCTGTGACAAATAATCTGAACTTTCAAAGGCTTGCTTAACTGATTGATCACGTATTGAGTAGTTTAAATAAATTTCTAGAGAAATAAGCAAGATTGCTTGCAAATCTTCTAGCAAGAGATCTTTTCCCAGACCATCAACATTATTTACTCCAGACGCTTGCATTACATGGGATACACGTGGAGTGTATGTATGAACGCAGAGCAAACCAATAGTAAATGTAGTTGGTATTTGTAGGATGTCTTCCTCTTGACGTCGTCTGCACGTCTGGTATTGCAGCCAGCTGGCAAGTGGATTCCACACACATCCCAGGGAGGCAGGCTTGCCAGTTACATTAGAGTAGTGGTGGTCTTAGAAAATTCTTGTTTTCATCACAGATGGTATTTCCTAGGTATCTTCTTGTCCACTGAGACAAAAAACCCCCACCAACCCATAAAACTGTCACTGTACTCTAACTAATCCCATTAAAAAACAAACAAAAAAAACAACACAACATTGTGGGCAGTCGGGACAAATCATTTTATTTAGCTTGTTGGAAAATATTTTGGCAAACTTTACAGTAGAAAAAGTTGCATTGTCAAAGTATCTTGATTTCACAACAGAATCCTGAAGATCCTGTAATTACTTAACAGCAGTTGTTATCTTGTTTTCTTTGCACAGGAAACAACTGAAATATCAGGAAATTGGATTTTTCATATGGATAGGTACAGACTGTGGGAACTTATTCAGTCATGTTGAACTGATGGTGCCAAAATGACCATCTAAACACCTGTTGGTAATTGCAGAGTTACTGTACTTCATGGAAGTTGCCATATAAGTGACACACGATGTAGTTAATCTGACAGGGAGTGGCATAGAACCAGAGAAACTTCTACTTTACCATGTACCAATATTTTGTCATGGGGATGCCAAACTTGAAAAAAATCCTATACTTTTAACTACATTTTTTGTGCAGTCTCTGGCATCTCAGAAATAATCTTATAGTTAGTACCAGATCCAATCTTGTTGCCTTGTTGATGCCTTTTTCCTAAGACAGCAAAGGCAAAGCATATTAAAAAATTGGGTCAGTGGCAGCTTTGTGTAGCATCCAGTAACTTTATTCCCTTTCCTTCACTGATGTCATTTATTTACTAAACCTGGCAGGTACTGTTATCCAATCGCATGAAAACGGGTTTTTCCCTGGCACATCTTTCTAGAATCAGAGGTGATACCTCATGTTCTGAACTCCCTCTGCTGGTCTTGTAAGGGCGAAATAAAAATCCTTGCCCAAGAGTTAAGATGGGAAAAGGGCTGGGGCAATATTCAAACAGCCTTGTAAAAATACTTCCCCTCCAATCCCAGATTCATTAAGGTCTCTTAAAAGGATATTGATTTCAAATGAAAATATCCAATCTATTTAGTCAGTAATTTTCTGCCACAATGACCTTATCCTTAGATCCTTGCTCATCCATATATATACATTTTTAACTGACTTACTGTGTAGTAATGTAAAGCTGCTGATTTAAAGCGTATCAGAATACTGACTTTTCCCCCTCAGTTTTCAAATTAGATTTAAGGTCAATGTATAACTGTCTAATTTTGTTTAAAAGCACTTTTTTAGCTAATGACTTCTGAAAGAAATCTGTACTTTCTGTATGGCGATTTTCTCTTCTCTGCACATAAGTACCATAAGCATCAAAACCAAAAAGG